GTCAGGCCCCGCTTAGTCCGGACTTCCACTGGGCTCGCCTTGGCCGGGAAAGCCAGCGCAAGCCCCCGACCGAAGGATGCGCCTGCCGCTCGGGAGAAAGCGAGAGCTTTCCTGACCCAGGAGGGAGGCCGGAACCCTCGGCGGGAACCGGGCGTGGAGGGGAGGGAGGGGGCAGAAAGCTGGTGTCACGCAGCTCGGCATGATCGCGCCGAGCCGGGGCCGGCTGAGGCCGGAACTCGGCGTAAGGACTTCGGCACTTCTCGGGCCGGAAGTGGGGAAGGCGCGATTGTCCTTTTCCGGCAGAAAGTAGGAGGCCCTGGGGGCGTCGCCATGGGGAAGAGTGTTGGTGTAACACTGCGGGCTGCGCGGAGGGGGTGGGATGGAGGCGGGTGTCGGTGTAGGGGCGCTCGGAACGGACGGATATCGCTGTGGCACTGCGGGGACGCTCTGAGGGGACTGGTGTCGGTGTGGCACTGGTGCACGCTGAAGGAGCCGGCGGAACCGGGTGGCCATGGGGATGTGGGCGTCGCTGGACGCGATGTGGGAGATGCCAGCTGAGAAGCGTATCTTCGGGGCTGTGCTGCTCTTCTCCTGGACAGTGTATCTTTGGGAGACCTTCCTAGCACAGCGGCAGGTGAGCCTAGACAGGGCCCACCCGACCCCGACACCTGGGCAGCCCAGGCCGGCGTCGATCTCGACCCCGAGTCCCTGGATGATTGCTGTGGCCCCAGCACCCGCTTCGACCCCGGGGGTCCCTGAGAGGCCTCCTAACTTGGCCCGATGGCGGGCTTGGCCTTGAGGGTATCTCGTGCCTCTGGGAGGTTTTCCGCAACGTGATCCTGGGACCCAGGAGGGTTAGGGCCTGGTGAAACGGAAAGCAGGGCTGCCGCCTGGTCAACTTGAGCTCTGTCTGGCCCACAGCTTTCTCAGGCCCCTCAAAAGGAAGGCAGGCAGGCAGGCAAATTTTTGGTAATGTTGTTATAGAAATGTCAGTCGGGGCGCCTGGGTGGCTCAGTCGTTAAGCGTCTGCCTTCGGCTCAGGTATTGATCCCGGGGTCCTGGGATTGAGCCCCGCATAGGGCTCGAAAGGAAGAGGTAAAATTTTTAGAATCACAGCTTCCCCGTGACATTCGTGTAATCATGCTCAACCCCGGCGTTAGGAAACCATTTTCTGAAAGTATAAAGACTTCACAGTCCTTCCTGAACTTTTTTTCTAAAAAAAAAAAAAAAAAAAGGATACAGTATGTTGTTTTGCCCAAAGAGCAGTATTTTCTTGTTTTACTTAAAAACGTCTTTATTATTGTTTAAGCAATTAGAACTGTAAAGCAGGAAGTGAAAGTTACTCAATAACAAATTTCTGGAGATAATCACAATGAACAGCCCTCTGGGTTAGAGATCTGAACTTTTAAGTGAGATTTTAAGTTTGTCTCCTTTATTGCAATCTCTCACTGCTGATTTGCTTTACCTACACTCTTCTATGTTGTCACTGAATTGTGTCAGCCGTGATGGTTATTTATGAGAGCCTTTCTCTTTTTAACTGCTGGAACTCTTTTTCTTGAGCATTACAGCCATTTTCCTCTGCAAATTTCTTCTCAGATTACATTCTGCATGAATATATTGAAATTTTTAGTTTTTCGTCAATGTCTGAGTTGTATCTTAATCTCTTCTTTTAGTCCAGAATCTTTATTTACTTATTTTTAAATAATCTTTTGAGTCATTTTGTTTGTCTTTTTTAAAGTAATCTCTCTGCCCAACTCAGGACCCCAAGATCAAGAGTCACATGCTCTACCAACTGAGCCAGCCAGGTGCCCCTAGCCCAAGTGTATAGCACTGGGTTCTCTGACACAAATATGTTTGGCTAACTTCATTAGTACAGAACCTTGAGGGCCTAGAGAAGATCCTTTGCATAAAGTAAACACACAGTATATACTGTCTAAATTGGGGATGAGGTACTGAACATCTGTCTTACTTTAATGATAAGCCCAATTACAGTAACTACTTTTCAGTAATGTCTCCTTTACTCTCTTATGCTTTAAAGTACTGCCTTTTATTGAGGGTTTGGTAAAGTGCCCAATAATATATAGAAGCCATGTGTCATAAAACCATTGCAGGAGATGCAGTCCATTATATTGTTTCGTTTCTGTGCCCTGTATTATGTCCCATGGGCTGAAATTACTGTTTAGAATTTGGTGTAATGATAGAGTTTGTCTTTCTTGAAGACCTGATCTGTTTCTATTTGTCATTCCTCAAATTTCCCTTAATTTGGTTTCTAGGACCACGTTTAATAACTAGTCACAATATCTGTTAATACTTACGGCTAGCATATTTGCTTCCTTCTCCTTTCCATGAATTTGTTTTCTAAATTATATAGGATGTATGTTTTACTTGGAGTGAGTGGTACCCTTTGTGATGTACCATTTTGGTTTACATATGCAGACTGAAGTGCGATAACCCCGATTTTAATTTTACCTAGTCAGCTAGCCGCAGCTTCTCGTTCTGCTTTTACTTTCCTGAATCAATTGTTTTAGTGATCAATGCACTTGATTAAATGCAGTATTATGTATAAATAAAGCAAATTCAGTAGGCTATACAATAAATGCTATAAACCACTCAGTGTTTGATCATAAATGACTACTGTAATAAAAAATGAGTTGGTTTGATCTCTCAAAGTGTTTTCTTCAAAATATTTCAGAGACGGATATATAAAACAACAACTCATGTACCACCGGAGTTAGGACAGATCATGGATTCAGAAACCTTTGAGAAATCCCGACTGTATCAGCTGGATAAAAGTACTTTCAGCTTCTGGTCAGGACTCTATTCAGAGATTGAAGGCACTGTGAGTAATTTACTTCTTGGAGAGACTATCAAATTGTTTAATACTTTGTAATGTTTGTTTTTATCTTGTATTTTTGTAACACAAAAGAGGGTACCATATCTACAAATCCCAGAATGCTTTCTTTTTTTTTTTTTTAAAGATTTTATTTATTTATTCATGAGAGACAGAGATTGAGAGAGAGGAAGAGGGAGAAGCAGGCTCCCAAGGAGCACGGAGCCCGATGCGGGACTCGATCCCAGGACGCTGGGATCATGACCTGAGCCGAAGGCAGACGCTCAACCATCTGAGCCACCCAGGCGCCCTAATTATACTTTTTTAAAAGCACTTTACATAAAATTATCTTGTTGAATTTTCATAACTTCATGAAGTAGGTACTGTTACCCTCATTTGACAGATAAAAACTTAAGGGTGAAGTGTTTTGCATTGCCGATAAAAGCTGGGAATAGGGGGCGCCTGGGTGGCTCAGTCATTAAGCGCCTGCCTGCAGCTCAGATCATGGTCCCAGAGTCCTGGGATCGAGCCCCGCATCGGGCTCCCTGCTCCCTACTTCTCCCCCTTCTTGTGTTTCCTCTCTCACTGTGTCTCTCTCTGTCAAATATTAAAAAAAAAAAAGCTGGGAATAGGCAGAGCCTAGTCTCCCAATTTCTTGATATCAGAGAGGGGAACTTAATGTGAAGGAAGAACATTGGAAGTTGCAAGTGGCATTTAAAGAAGTACCAAAAAACCATAGTTCTGTAATTGAGTATATTGTTTGTGGAAGTGAATAATGGGAAATAAAGTTTGAAGTATAAGTAAAAGCCAGGTCATGCAGATCCAATTCCAATCACACATCTATTATTGACATTTTCTCATTTGAGGAAAGAAAGGAAAACTGGTTCATACTGTTTCTGTGAGTCCATTTTTCTTTCTGAGAGAAACTTGTAAAAGAAGAGTTGCTCAGTCCCTTCTCCCCACTTCCCACCCCCACAATAGACTGTGATGCCCCCTGGCTTTATACTCCTAACTCCGGGGCAAAGCCTCCTCTTAGGTAGAGCTGAGTCTGGAAAGAGTGCCCCACTCTAATCTAACCTGCTTGGTCTACACCTGCAGGAATAGATTCTGTGACAGACTGCATTTGGAGGTCCGAACCACTTTGAGAAAGGTAACCAGGATAGGAGATTTAAAAACCTGTCAACCTGTATTTGACAGGTTTAGCCTGGAAAGTAGAGAAGACTGGAAGCACAGGAAAGATAGCCAAATATTCACCAAGCACGTACCATCTGCTAGCTCCCGGGTGTTGAACATGACACAGTAGGTTTCCTGCATTGTGGAGGTTAGAGTCTAGTAAAGAAGATAGACAATAAACAAAACACTACAAATGAAGTGCTGCTAAGAAGCTATGGCGGTGATGGGACCTCAAAAAAGTCCAGGAAAAGCTTCTTTGAGGAAGCGATGTTAGAACTGCAACCTGAAGAACCAGTAGGAATTAGCCAGAGAGGATAATCCTATTATGTGCAAAGGCTTTGTGGTGTGTTCATGACATTGACAAGTCTGGTATAGCTAGTGCTGAGAGTCAAAATGGGAAGGGGAAAGGAGAGAAGGCTGGGTAGGTAAACAGCAACCAGGTAGTTTAGTGCCATGTAACCAGCTTCTAGATTTTGGATTTTGTCTGAAAGGCCATGAAGAACCTTCTGAAGCCATGAAAGTAGGCACTGCAGGAGTCATAAGTTAGAGTATGTATGCCAGAGTCCTAATACGGTCTGATGTGGAAGACTACTGGGTGGAAGTGACTGACTGCTGGCTGGTTGGCTGGATAGATGGATAGATGACTCTGTCTAAAGGTGGGCTGAGATGCCTTGCATAGTGATAATTCTTCACTGGAGGTTTTCAGGTATCTAAGAAGGGAGTCAAACTATAAATGGGCTTTTTGGACTAGATTCTTTTAAGGCACCATACACAATTGAGATTGACAATACCTTGTATTTGGTCATGGATGTCACTACAAATAATAGTTGCACTTATCTATACGGGTAGCTTGTTCTTTTATACAAATTATCAAATTCTCGTTACAGGCCTACAAGGTAGGAATTACTCCCACTTCACTAATGAAGATATTAGGGCTCAGGTTAAGTAAATTTGCTCAAGGTAACAAAGTTAGTGAGCAGGAAAGTCAAAAATTTTAACCCAGATCCATTGTACTCCCAAAGGCCTATGCTCTTAACAGCTACTCTGTAAAGATTCTATCCGAACAAGTACACAAATAGGGTAATAGGCACTTGATGAATGAACAGTTTAGGCCATAAAGGTATTTAGAATTCTTCCAGGGGACTTTGCATTCACCTAGTATTTTATTTAATGCCCGCTATGTGCCAAGCCCTAGGGATACAGTAGCCAATTAAAGGGACATGGTCCCCGTCTTCCTTAAGTTTACAACAGTCAGGGAAGACATGTTAAACCAAAAATTGCACAAATAACTATAACTGGGTTAAATGCTTTGAAAGGAAAGTGTAAGGTGCCATGTAACAGGGAGATCTAATCTAGTATTGAGAGTCTCAAGTAATGATTTAGTTGTCACAGCCCCATCTTTCTCCAAAAAGTTTCTGGTTACCATTCTTTAGTGATAACCTGTAATAGCCAAATCCAGAGTCTTATCTGAGTCACTTTTATTCCTTGCTAGAAAGGATTCTGACTATTGTCACTCACTAGCAGACTGTGGGTCTAACATCAATAGCAGTCACTCATATATCAGTAGGTCATTTCACCCTGACATAAGTACTGCATTTCCAACAGCACTCTAGACTCCTTTTTCTGGATGTGTCTCTGACACCCCAAGCAACTTGTCATACCACTTCCTACAAGAACAAAACAACCATTCCTCCTATTCCAAGCCTCCCTGTTACTGTTCTTTCAACCAGAATGAACAAATTGGAATAGCATCAGACAGTATTTTTCTAAAAATTGTCATAACCTTTTCTCCTCTTCCTTTTTGCCTCTCCCCTCCTACTGGTGGTGCAAACCGTCTTTTGGATTCTTGCTGTCTTCACAATTGATCTCAGTTTAGAATATACACGTTGAGTGAACTCTTACAAGTTTTTTGGGTACAGACCGTAGATACTGTATTTTCATACCTCCTTGCTGAATGTATATAGGTACTAGTCAGTAAATAATTGATAACATGCCATATAAGTTATTATACAGCACACTACAGTTCACAAAGTGTTTAGAAAATTACACCATCTGTTTCTGATATAAACCTTGCAAAGGATGTGGAATCCCCTTCTGTAACCAGATGAGCAAAATGAGGCTCAAATATGTTTAGTCTTCTCAAAGATCACAATTTCTAAACAATAGTGACATGTGAAAAAAGGGAATGCTACAAAATAATCCAGTAATAACCTCCCTACACATTTACCAAGTAAACTATTCATTCTTTAGGAAAGATTTCTTTAAATTCTCTCCTCAAATCTCTACTTAACCTCAGTTTTCTCATTTGCCATGTGAAAATAATTGCTGTCCCTTCCATGTATCATTGGAAATGTTCTATATCTACACTCTCCAAGAAGGTAACCACTAGCCACATTGGCTACTTAAATGTAATTAAAATTAAATGTAAAATTCAATTCCTCGGCCACACTATTCACATTCCAAGTGACTAGTGGCTACCATATTGGACAGAGCAGATAGAGAATATTTCCATCATTGCAGAAAGTTCTATTGGACAGTGCTGTGCTACAGCTAGAACTTGCCAAAGATCAAGGAAAGCAATATGACTGAACTGAAAATCCAGGCCATGTCTGGTTGGTTTGGAGTGAGAAAGTTCACTGGGTGAGTGGGAAGCAAGCTGACCTTTAGAACAGTGACATCACAATGCACAGTTCACTGGCTCTAGAACACCTAGGCTCCAGGCCACTCTCCCTAACTCGTATCTAGGTTCCTGAAGCTTCTCTACATGTAGTTCCTGGAGCTGCTGTCTTATTAAAATGTCAACATCTTTTCCTTCGTCTTCATCTGTCTGGGACAACATCATTGATTATCTTTCTCTGAGCTCGATATGGAATTGGCTACAAGCAAGTCTTCTGGGAGAGACTAGTCCACCTCAGCAAACAAATTTGGGTCTACTAGATAATTTTGCTCCAACTGTACAAGTTATCCTGGGGATTTCCTTTTTGCTTTTGTTGGGAATAGGAGTATATGCCTTATGGATACGAAGTGTTCAGTCAATTCAGGTTATACTCTTTTGTTACAGAGGAATTTAAATAGTTCTAAATTGAAATTTGGTTAGCTCTCTCCTGCATTGTGCTACCCAGTTTTAAAACCATGCAGATGAGCAAAGATAAACCCTAGTCTCTGAAATTGGTTGAAACTAGGTTAACCTTAAAAACTTTACCAATTAGGTTTTGAGCATAAAATGCTCTTTCTCACAGTAGTCTTCGGCTTGTTCTAGAATAAAATAGATCAAACAAGTTCATAAACTGAGAAGGCAGCCTAACCCCAAATTTATATGATCACATACTCATCTTTGATTTTCTACTATGTGCCAGACACCATGAGGGGTACCTTTTAAAAGAATAGGCATTACAAATATAATTGGGATCTTGGGTTTGGCCTTTCTGTTCTTAATGTGACATTGTTCTGTAACCGATGGCAAGGCATGTATATTCATTTAGGCATCACGATATTTTCATTATTTCTCTGTTTTAACAATATCAGGCTCAGTAAATATGCAGGGGTTCTTTTTGGGAATAGGAGTATAATTGGTTAGGATTGTAAGAAACATTTAGGATTTTACATACTTCTAATCACCAATAATAACTTAATAGTTTAATCACCAGCAATAATAGCTATATTTACAATATAGTCAAAATGCTTTTAGAATCCCAACAATTCCATGAAATGGATAGAGGTTATTTTCATATGACAAACAAGGAAACAGGTGCATTGAGGTTCAGTGGAAATCTAAGGGGGTAGGATTTTAAAAGGACTTTCTTAAAGTTTACTTGGTAAATGCTGAGAGAAGTTATTACTGGATCATTTTGTAGCATTCACTTTTCATATATCACTACTGTCAAGGA